ATTGAGCTAGACATACAAGGAAGGCATCTGGTACAGAGAGCTTCCCAATATGCGTGGGATGCTAGACTACCAGATGACCTATGTGTTCTTACTAGTAAGTGGTTGGCCTTGGTTAAGAAGGCTGTCCTCGAGACCAAGGTTCCCAGAAAGATTGACTGTAAGAAGTTGCTTGTCTATGTTGATGCTAGCCAAAGCACTTGGGGGGTGGATATTAGAACTCCAAGTGGGACTAGGGTTTGCGCTAAAGGTGGTCTTTTCCCTCAGCCAAAGAGGGATAAGTGGACTATTCCGCAGAAGGAGCTACTTTCTCTTATTTATGGTAGAGACCTTCTTATAAATGTGTGGAAAACAGTGGATGAGAGTATGAGAGATCAATGTGAAGCTCTCATACTGAGTAATTCTCAAATCAATTGTTACAGAGTCCACAAAGAAGACCAGGCGACTGATATGAAGGCGTGGGAACGCAAGACTATTCAGTCGATGCGTGGCTTTATGATGAATCATTCGGTCGTTCTACGTCATGTGGCTACTACCTGGAATTCCGCTGATGGTATTACCCGTGGTACCTTCCCTAATAAGGTTAGTGATGATATGGTCAAGGCAACGGCCGCATGGTGGAAGACCGATGATTTTACACTTGAAGCCCCTTGGGGTATGTCAGTGGACTTTGACTTTGAACTGGTTGACGAAGGTATCATCAGTGATGCTAAGGAAGAGGCCGCTGATGAGACTGCGGATCCCGTAAACCGGGTGGCTAAGCTGACGCTTGAGAGTGCTGATGGCTCTTTGGACCTCAGTATTAGGAAGCATCAGGATTTATTACGCCGACTTAGAAGATGGCAAGCGAAGGCTCTGAAGAAGGCGTACCAAGAACCCTCATGGGAAGAAGCTTGGTTAAGTCTTTTATTATGGAAGCAGTCTTCTTCGAAGGAGCTTTCATTAATTAAGTCAGTCATCTTGGGTACCACCGACGCTGAGGGTAAGCACAAGGTAAGTGCGAACACCCAGCGTAGGTGGAAACTATCTTACGAGGTAGATGAGGTTACTAAGATTCTGCATCGCAAGATTCGCCAAGATAACTCGGGAAGGGTTAGGCGACAAGTGGCTATA